CCGTTCCCCTTGTTCCCTCCATTCCCTCTGTTCCCCCATTCCCTCTGTTCCACCTGTACCCCTGTTCCCTCCATTCCTTCTGTTTCCCCCGTTCCCTCTGCTCCACCTGTTCCCTCTGTTCCCCTTGTTCCCTCTGTTCCACCCGTTCCCCCATTTCCCCCGTTCCCTCTGTTCCACCTGTACCCCTGTTCCCTCCATTCCCTCTGTTTCCCCCGTTCCCCTTGTTCCCTCTGCTCCACCTGTTCCCTCTGTTTTCCCCCGTTCCCTCTGTTCCATCCATCATTCATCCACAGTTCATGCATCTTCAGCTGCCTAAAGGTCAAAGGTCTTCTCTGTATCTGAAGTTGGCTGTTTTCAGGTTCTGTCCCTGTCAAAGTAACAGGTTTAGATCTGTTTCTTCTTCTGTGGTGGACTTTAAAACGTCTCATCGATTCTTTCACCTTTAAAAGTCAAAGGAGAGAAAAATAAATTGTCTCCCTGAAATGTCAGAGACCCAGAGAGTCGGACGTAACGCTTTGGCTTTGAGCCGTTCGGCTGATTAGCAGAAAGTCAAACTATTTCTGTGGAGCTGTGACCTTTGACCTGGGGCACTCTGACTCAAACCCTGGAAAGCAGCAGCATCATGGAGCGCCGGCTGTCACAGCCGCTAACATCTGAGGCTAACGCAGCGCTGAGTTTCAGCTGACCGCCAGCTTCATCATCGTCATGGTAACGCTGGTGTTTTCCCAGAACCAGCTCACTCACGGCGACCTTTGACCTGATGCAGTTGACCAAATGCTGCTCCTTCTGTCTTTCTGCACAGTGTTTCCATGACGACGGGTGACATTAAGATGGCCGCCAGATGTTTGTGACCGGAGGCTGCTGCGGCGATCCAACCAGCTGACCCCTGGCTCTCGGTTCATCCGTTTTCTCTTCAGACCTGCAGAAACATTTCAAAGCAACGCTCAGCGAACCGTCATGTAGCGTCTGCATGTCGTCCTTCCACTCAGTGAAACATGAAGCTGTAGCTGAGATTATTTCAGCCTATTTGAAGTGGAAAACTTTATGGTTTAGCATATTCTGATACTTAATTACAGAGCTAAATTCAGCCATAAGGCACATTCAAAACTTTTTGTCAACATAAGAAAAAAAAAGAAAAAATTGTAATTGAAAAAAATGTTTGAAACTAAAAATAAAAGAAATTGGAAAATAAAGCAAAAACTGAAAACAAAATAAATGGAAACTTTAAAAAGATAAAAATATTTTTGAAACTGGAAATCTCTTTAAAAAAATCAATATTCTGTTTAATCAATAGGTTTTCAAAACCTGCCACTGATATGATCCACGTATTTAAACGCACAGCACAAATCTTAGAGTAAAATATTTTTAGATGCAAAATAATTTTCCTGTTTCATTTTTGAACAAATTTATGGCACCAGTTTAGCTCTATACATTATGGTCCTGTGACCGATGCAAAGCATCATGGGTAATAAAGTGACACAAGCTGAACAGCTAGCGGAAGCTAGCTGTGCTCATGATGAGGTAGCTGTCTTGTTTTCTATGATCTAATCGTTTTAGTGCAGAAAAATGTTAGAAAACATTTTGTTTATTGTGAATCCGCCTCATATTCCAGTTCACATTTCTCTCTGGTTCCCTGCAGCTTCGTGGCTCCTTTGCTTTGGTTTCCTATCTCAGTTCCAGTCTCAAACCAACTCGACACATCAGTAAATATATGTTTTATTTACATGCATATGCACTAAATGATTAGATGTTTTTGCTGTTGTAGTTGGTTATTAGTAGAAATCAGAGGAGATGATTAGCCTCTTAGTGCTGACGGCTCAACAGATTAAACCTAAATTATTCAGAACTTTTGTCTCTGAGACTCTAATTATGTTAATAATGCAAAGGTGAAAACATTTTATTTCAGCGCTGATTTCTAAATACTGAGATCAGGAGGGGCCTCTAAAGGTTTAGGACGTTTTTATTCATTTTAACTGGAAGGAGAGAATGAAGATAATTCAATTTCACTCCGAACCAATCTGATCCGAACCAAGCCAACAAGCTGAACCGGGTCAGAATAAAGATCCGATTCTGTTCAGGACCAACATCAGTCAGAGTCTGTGGGAAAATAACACTTTCATTTTCAAAGTCATGATTTCACCACTTCATTCATTCATTTTTCAATGTCAGTTTCAAGCTAAATATTTAGCTTTGAGACTAAATCTTTATCAGGCTAAATAACCTAAATTATTGCAGTTTATTGTTGACTAACAGCAGCAGGTCTCCTGTCATCACAAATATGAAGTGGTTTTTGATTTTGATGAATTCATGACTCATCCATTCATCCATCTGCAGTGAACCCATTATTCAGTGACGCCTTGCAGGAAGGTTCCTGGTTGTTGGTTTGAATCCTCTCTGCAGGGAGTTCTTGTTCTCCCTGTGAGGGACTTTAACCGGGGCCGGTCAGGTTCTGCGACGGTAAACCCGGTGTTTACTGAGTTTTATCAGAACCGTTTGGATCAGCAGCACCGCGGCGTTTTTAGGTTCGTCTCCATCATGTTCTGCTTGGCTCGGTTGCCATAGATCCCAGAACAGAGTCAGAATCTCTTTGGTCTCCTGATCAGTCTCTGCTGCTATTTTGGTCCGGCTCTCAGTCCAACATGTCAGAGAGGGAGGGGGACCGGGGGGGGGGGGCCCCGGGGGGGGGGACAGGGGGGGGGGACGGGGGGGGGGGGCGGGGG